TAAGCTGACACGCCGTGATATAACTGGAATACTGTTAAACGTGGTGTTAAACCCAACTCACTCACTTATTATGACTTGTAAACTATCTGTTTATAACTGCAGCAGTCAATAGCCTAAAAGTTAATCTTGCAACAAGTCCAATCCCATCTAATATAAACCCCACTAATAATTATCAAGTGGGGAATAAGAAGAAATTAAAGAGGTGTGCTGATATACAATGTATATAGTTCATGTTCCATACTGGAGTACTGATCAGAGAGTTTGATAACCATTATAACTAATCAGGTTTTATACATCTGAGCACATCGAAATTTGATTGAGATTAAGGGCAAAGGGCATCTACATCTCCTGATGATTTCTCCCGGTGCTTGCATGTAGTGCACCTTGTGTTGAACTCTGCCATCACAAGGAAGGGATGAAGACATGGCTTGAAGTCTTAGGATGAAGAAAGGAAGAGAAGAATATTGCTAACTAGGTTGCTGATTTGCCATAATTGCTTCATGGCTCGTCAACCAGCGTTATTAAGTACAGAGTCACTTTGAAGTGAGATTGGATGAGTTAGTTTGAACATGTTGATAACTTTGCGAGCTCCGTGGGAGGTAGGAGTCTTAAGTAGATTATTTCCTAATTTTCATACTTTGCAACTTGCTATTTGCAACTTGTGTTGATTATGATAATATTATCATTATGTTAATGGGCTAAGCTGTATCTTTTTTCAAAGTGAATAAAAAAATAAAATGTGAATTTGTTATGTTAAGGACATTCTGCTTTTAACTAGCTACAACTATTGAGATGCTTGTTTCGAAGTGGTAACAGTTTGTAGCGCATTATTTTTGTCCTGACATTTACAGAGGGAGGTGATTGGCTATGCAGACAAAATAATTTATTCTCTAAATTAATGACACTATAAAGCGGTTGTGAAGAATGCCAGGGTGAAGATGCACTAAGCATACATAGAAAAATAAAGTATAAAGAAAATGGGGGACTTTGCTTCACAATCTGGTGCTCATATTGTGTAATTAGTGCCAAGTGTGAAACGGAGACACTGTTTCTGTAGGATAAGGTCATCAACTGCTAGGTAGAGGAAATTTGAGTTCACAGATAAACAAACCAGGTTTAAAATGACTTGAATTAAACTTGTTGAGACTGCCAATCAACCAGAACTAGTTGTCCCTTGGCAGTATGCTTCGATATTGAGCCTATTGCTCGTCTAGGTCTGAAGGTGTGATGAGAGCCCTGTGTGAACCCGAGACATTGTCTCTTTTTAATTAGGTACAATATGTGAATCCCGACCACACACACACACACTCACACTCACACTCACACACACACACACACACACACACACACTCACTCACTCACTCACTCACAGAATAAATAGAGGGATAAACAGCAAGAATCAGGAAAAGTCAGGTCAGTTCAGAGGTCAAATTGATCACGACCTTCAAAATACCATCTCAGTAGAAACCAATTGGGTACCACCAACTCACCCTCATTCATCAGTGGACTAACTGTCATCAAAGTAGGAAGATCCCAAACAGCCGACCAGGTGGGTGACAGCGTCCAAAGGTTCCTTGGTGCAGACAGATAAATCGCTGTATTACTCACCAAGCTCCTAATTTGTGATGTTGTCGTGGGTTTGTAGACATATTACCAGCTAAGGAAGGAGCTAATACCCAACTCACCTACCCACTCATTCAACCAACCAACCAGCAACCCAATCAACCAACCACAAACCCACCCAGTCACTCACTCAAAATGGTAATCATATCCTGCTCCACAAGTGACACTAACACATGCAAAGACAAAACAATAAATTTATTTCTTATATATACATGTGTGTGAGGGTGTGTGTGTGGACTCAATTCCAAAAGAAACGCAAAACCAGGATGGATGTCACAGGTCTATGCTGGGTTCCAACTGTCTGTCTGCAGTAGTTAATGCTGCTAGGTGGCGTTGATGCAAGTGAGAAGGGGCGATAAACCTATCTTGAAGTAACAACGGCTTAGTCTCCCACATCAAACTGGCATGCCTTGATAACTCGAATACTGTTCAAAGTAGCGCTATCAACCCAAGTGACTCATTCATAATACAATAATACACCTTTTGATGCCTTGAATATTCCTATTCTTCCCTGATCTGTCCGAATCTGTTAATGTGCATTCTTCCTCTGTCCAAATCTGTTAATGTGCATTCTTCCTCTGTCCAAATCTGTTAATGTGCATTCTTCCTCTGTCCAAATCTGTTAATGTGCAATCTTCCTCTGTCCAAATCTGTTAATGTGCATTCTTCCTCTGTCCAAATCTGTTAATGTGCATTCTTCCTCTGTCCAAATCTGTTAATGTGCATTCTTCCTCTGTCCAAATCTGTTAATATGCATTCTTCCTCTGTCCGAATCTGTTCATGTGCATTCTTACTCTGTCAGAATCTGTTCATGTGCATTCTTCCTCGATCTGTCAGAATCTGTTAATGTGCATTCTTCCTCTGTCAGAATCTGTTAATGTGCATTCTTCCTTTGTCAGAATCTGTTCATGTGCATTCTTCCTCTGTCAGAATCTGTTAATGTGCATTCTTCCTCTGTCAGAATCTGTTCATGTGCATTCTTCCTCTGTCAGAATCTGTTCATGTGCATTCTTCCTCGATCTGTCAGAATCTGTTAATGTGCATTCTTCTTCTGTCAGAATCTGTTCATGTGCATTCTTCCTCTGTCAGAATCTGTTTATGTGCATTCTTCCTCGATCTGTCAGAATCTGTTAATGTGCATTCTTCCTCTGTCAGAATCTGTTCATGTGCATTCTTCCTCTGTCAGAATCTGTTCATGTGCATTCTTCCTCGATCTGTCAGAATCTGTTAATGTGCATTCTTCCTCTGTCAGAATCTGTTCATGTGCATTCTTCCTCGATCTGTCAGAATCTGTTCATGTGCATTCTTCCTCGATCTGGCAAAGGACACTGTTAATGTGCATTATCTGCCATGGTTTGGCCATCTTGTGTTCTGATATGACCGCCTTCATGGTCTAGTGGTAGAGCGTCTGCCCAGAGAGCGGAAGGTCCTGGGTTCAAAACTTGTCTGTGTCATACCTAAAGATGTTAAAAGATGGTACTTGTTGTTACCCTGGCGGTCGGCATTGATGGGATTAAACAGCTTGGGATCCGTATACTGTGTCTCAGTGGGCTAGCACTATAAAATCGACATCAGTCTGGACTAGTACAAGCAGACACACACACACACGTGCATGCCCATCACTATTTAAGTGCAGTAACCTTGGACGCGACATTAAACCCCACCTCACCTCACCTCAGCTGACTTCTCCTCACCTTCACTAAGCAACATTTACACCCTGTGGTTGATCGCCCATGTGATGAAGCCGTCATATTCCCATGATGGATGGCACTGACTGGTTACACAATAGAGCCAAGTGCACCACCGGGGAGGATCAGAGTGAACTATTTGTTCACTTGTCTAGATGATGTGTTGGCAATAATAATACCGCAACACACCCAAAACCCAGACTGTTTGCAGCATCCTTGAAGTGTCTGCCTGTCCGTCCATCCATCATGTGGGGACAAGTGTGGCCCAGTTGTCTGAGAGCAGCAAATCGTTGTACAGAGTTGTGCCCCTTAGGCGTACCAGGAATCTATGAATCACCCTGTATCTGGTCCTACTGTAGTCTACCAGCACACTCCATGGTATAGAAATGAAGTCAGTGTTTACTCAAATATTTACATCACTAGATTATGAAGATTCAAGCTTTGTACTCTTGGTGGATGAAATTTAAAAAAATAAAATTAAGAACTCACTTTTTCAAGTGATCTCAATAAGTTATTGCTGTTTCAGTTGAAATGAAATAATATTGATATTTTAAGAGTAAGTCTTCCTCTTCTGTCCAACTTTGAAGTATGTTTTGTTCCTGATGTTAGAAAGATTGCAGGAAGCTAAAAAATACTGTTGCAAAAATAATAATTTACCTCTACATCTTTATATTTTGTATCTTCCACAATCTATTAATACAAAGATAACATTTTACATGATATATGTGTTGTAATTTTGTTTATCAAACTTTTAAAAATCCTATCTAATTCATTGATACCTGTCTACGAGAGGCTTATTGTTCCAGAATTTTTTGTTACAACTTTTAATAACCACTTATCTGATTGATTTTGTATATTTTCATATTAATGTCCCTGTTGATAATCCAGCTGACAGTTTAATGTATATTTATGTCATCTGGAGTAACTGCATGTATTATATAGTCCTCATTAACTTGTCAACAATATATCATTTTTGGGGATTGAAATTGTTCATCTGAATATATGTCTTAACAACATAAATCAAACTTCTGGTTTAGGCTAGTGGAATAATATAAACTGTTTTTCTTTTAGAATAAGGCCAGTTGAATGGTATAAACTGTTTTTCTTTTAGAATAAGGCCAGTAGAATGGTATAAACTGTTTTTCTTTTAGAATAAGGCCAGTAGAATGGTATAAACTGTTTTTCTTTTAGAATAAGGCTAGTAGAATGGTATAAACTGTTTTTCTTTTAGAATAAGGCTAGTAGAATGGTATAAACTGTTTTTCTTTTAGAATAAGGCTAGTAGAATGGTATAAACTGTTTTTCAAGATGATATCGACAACATGGTGGCTAGTCCCATTGATTATGATAGAGTTTGCAAGAAATTTAACATTGAAAAACTAACATGCTAAAGAAAGCCCTCAATAATCTTTTGTCTGTAAAGAATGTCTTCGTGTCCATGAAAACTGGCGTTGGCAAGTCTCTTTGCTTCCAACACTAGAACCACGGGAATGGGTTAAGGGGTTAGTGTAGGTTTACTAAAGACTGGAGATATAGAGGATGGCTACAATGAAGTATACCTATAATTAAATCCAACTATCTCCACGGTGACGTTCACTTTTGAGTAGGTATTAGGCCAAGACATACATAGCAGTTGAGACATATCATAGTTATAACTTTATTTAACCTTACTCAATTCTTGTATTTCAGAGTGGATGACAGCCTTGGCTATGTTCCTGTCCCAGTGAGGGATTACAGAGTTGTCTGCCTGCTGTGACCTTCACCTTGTCCACGATGACAACCTACTCGGGTCACAACACAACTGGGAGTTTCCTCCACATTGCCTTCTCCCCTTACAGTCCATTAACAACAGTCAGCCCCAACATGACCACAGAACCAACTCAAGGATCTGAGGGTCCAAACTGCACTGCAAAATACATCCCTGGCGTGCTCAGCGAATCAGCCGCAATCGGCCTGGAGTCCTTTAGCAGCAGCTACGGACACTATCATGGTTATGTCAGTGCCATAGTGTGCTTCTTCGGTATGATGGCAAACATTGCAAACATCATTGTGTTGACTCGCAAGAATATGATCTCGTCCACAAACACGATATTGATGTGGCTGGCTGTTGCTGATCTGCTGACGATGATGTCCTATTTCCCTTTCGCCATCCACTTTTACATCCTGCGCGATCCACAGCTTCCAATGTTCCACACTCTCTATCATGGCTGGATTTGGTTTCTAATGTTTCATGCTAACTTCAGCATTGTGTGTCACACTGTGGCAATATGGCTGACGATTGCTCTTGCTATATTCCGTTACATTTACATATGTATGCCCACAAGAGGCATGGTGTACTGTAGTCTAAGACGTGCAAAAATTACAATATTTGTAGTTTATTTTCTGACTTTTATCATCTGTATTCCAAATTATGTCATTAATCGTATACATGAAATGACACGAGAGAAGATGCACATGACGTATGGTATACCGATGCCGGAAGCAGGCAACGGAACCGGAAACCATACCCAGGATCTTGTGTATTCTCCGTATCAGTGGAGGGAATCGGAAGTTGCCGAGGTCATTCTACAGATCAACAATTGGATCCAGGCAATCTTTATCAAACTGATTCCATGTGTTATGCTGATGACACTCACAATTCTGCTCGTCCATGCCATGCACAAAGCCTACCGCAAACGCATGAGGTTAAAATCGGAAGGACGCAAAGCCGAGTCGGACAAACATGGTGAACACAATCGTACAACTGGGATGTTGCTGGCTGTGGTGGCGTTGTTCATGATCACCGAGTTACCACAAGGCCTTCTGTCTCTGATGAATATCTTCATCCCTTGTTTTCAGGACATGGTGTACAACAGGCTCGGGGACCTCCTCGACATCATGGCTCTCCTCAATAACTCTATCAACTTTGTCCTGTACTGTACAATGAGCAAACAGTTCCGAGACACCTTCATGGAAGTCTTCTGTAAAGTCTGCACCAAAAACAAACCAGGCTGGCTCAAACTAAAGGTGGTCTCTTCCACCAATGGGAACTCAAGATCCTCTGAAACTACCAATCATACACATGTTTAATGGTCACTTGCTGATCAGTAAAGACAGAGATCATTCTATTGCTTCATCAGTGAGATCTCTGAGGTTTGCAAGAAGAATAGTGGAACCAGGAAGCTTTGGTAAATGGAAGTGGTTTATAGTCTGGTTGCCGTGGTTGCTGTTCCTGGATGCTGTTGTTGCAGATGTCAGGTATGGGAACAGTGCAAGAAAATGGTAACCAGTGAACTGTGGAACTGTAGTCTGTTCAGTCGGAAGGAAGAGGTCACTGGTTACCATGGTTACTGTTCCTGGAAGCTGTTGTTGCAGATGTCATGTATGGAGACAGTGTTCACTTGGAACTTGATGTCAGAAATAAAATTATGGATTGAAAGGTCACAGCAGTGATATAAATACTTAGCTAGATTGTGTTTCCTGTTTGGAGCATCAAGTGACAATGATCTTACAGTTGTATGTAAGCAAGAATTAGCCTTGAACTTGGACAATGAATAATGAATGAATTTTGTGTTGCCAGTCTGCTGGGCTCCCTTGAGGTGGTAGACATGTGGATGCAATCCGATTCATTTTGTAACCAGAGTGTGTACAGTGGACCCTGATGTATGAAGATTAGTGATGAATTGATGGCAGCCTGACCTGATGCACTGTCAGTGGAAGCTGGTTATTTCTGGCAGGCTTGGAAAGTGATAGCTTACTTCTGATGATTGAAACTGTTTTCAAATAATTTGTCAGAACTAACGACATGATGTTTTGATGAGGACTTGTGGAGCTCCTATTGACCTTGGAATTTACCAGATTGTTTGTTGATTCCACGGATCAGAGAGATGTAGAGGAACTGATGTGTACAGAGGACTGAGTGACTGGTTCATGTGATGGTTATGTGATCAAGTTCTTCAGTTCCACTGTCCCACAAAGCACTGTCCACTTCATGGACGGGTTGGGATTGGTAAGAAAATACTGTATCCTGTGTCCAGACTGTACAGGTGTAAACTAAAAAGGATGTTAACCAGTTGCTTACAGACTTGAAGAAACATTGTCCAAATGAACATGTCCCTAACCTGCTGCCATGGTCCAGGAGGAGAGTCTGTGACTGATTGGGTGGGAACAATGTCCTGCCCGGCAGGTATCCCTGAAGTCCCTGCCCTGATACTCGCTGCCTCTACATGGTAACAGTAAAGCTCTTCTCACAGTGTTACTGTGGTGGATAACACCATATGACCCCTTGCTGTGTTCTGTTACCTGATAGAGCAACAGGAGGTTGGACTGGACTTCAGGGATTTCTGCCAGCAATAAAGTCATGCCTGGAATGAAAGTCGGCCTTTTGTATCAACAACAAATGTTTGAATGATGAAGAATAAGTTTGTTTTGACTATAGTGGCTTCTTCAAACAAGACTGTTTGACTGGGATATAGTTAATCTCAACAGAGAATTCTGCTGGCAACAAGAAAAGTTCATCTTAACATGAAGGCTTCTGTCAGCAACAAGACTGTTTGACTGAGATAAAGTTCATCTCAACATGGATGATTTAGTCAGCAACAAGACTGTTTGATTGAGATTAAGTTCATCTTAACATGAAGGACTCTGTCAACAACAAGACTGTTTGACTGAGATAAAGTTCATCTCAATATGGATGATTTAGTCAGCAACAAGACTGTTTGATTGAGATTAAGTTCATCTTAACATGAAGGATTCTGTCAACAACAAGACTGTTTGACTGAGATAAAGTTCATCTCAATATGGATGATTCAGTCAGCAACAAGACTGTTTGATTGAGATTAAGTTCATCTTAACATGAAGGACTCTGTCAACAACAAGACTGTTTGACTGAGATAAAGTTCATCTCAATATGGATGATTCAGTCAGCAACAAGACTGTTTGACAAGGAAGGAACATGTTTTCCCGACTTCAGAAATGAGACTTGTTTGACTTTGTAAGTTCATTGTGATTGTTGACTTCTGACAGAAACAGAACTGTTTGACTGGGATTTAGGTCACCCTAATTTGGTGACTTTTGCAGAAACAAGACCATTTGAACTAGCACCAGCGATTTTCAACCAGTTGAACTGTAGAGATCAGCAGTTGTGTTAAAATGAGGTCAAATGTTTGTGCATGCTTTCAATATCAAGACCTACTAGTGATACAGAGGTTTAATAAATGAACCGAGTTTATAGGAAAATCATGCCAGTGAGTGGGAAGCTAAAAACGGGGGATACCGTGGGCCATTTGTACCCCCAAAACATAATGGAAAGTATATTTTAAGCAGTAGCCGTAGCAGATTTCACTCTTGAGTGTTGAGAAATAATTGTAAATAGATATAGGTTGGCGTGTTGTTGTGTATGTTCTAAAATAGATCATGATCATGTTTGTGTTATGGATATTATTTAAAGATGCTGATAATAAGCTAAGTACATAATTTTCTGTTGTTATCCAATCGTTATCAAAATTATGTACATTATAATTTAAAAACATAAAAAGTGAAGTCCAGTTTTAAATTACTTCTGAAATTTGAATTTATCCGAAGTTGTGCACATTTGATTTATTTATGATTACTGCATGTATTGTTATCTTACTTAAGTATTACTCGCTCTATAAGTTATTGGTCACAATTTCTTAATCTCTACTGAGCAAGCTCAATTATATGTTTGATACTTGAACAGGTTCATCAATACTGTGTGTATAGCAGTGGTGAAGATGGCCCATAGTGGGGGATTTTATGGCACTTCCCTGACTTACTCTTAGCAATAAGACATTTCCTTCTGGACGACTTGTATAGAAATCTAATAGTCGATGTGTCAGATATGTCTAATTTTACTTTTTACATATTTGATGGTCTTTATTTTGGGGGATATTGTGAAATATTCAATTTGTTTTGAAAAGTGATTTTGAAAATATTGCCATTGATGCATTTTCACACACGTATCAAATATTTTATTTAGGATTTCATCGGAGGTTTTTGGTTAAAATTGTATGAAAATGCACTTGTACAGAAAATACTATGTTGAAATTGATTTGAATGGTCATAAATTCTACTCTATTTTCAAAGAATTTATCATTTTTAGAAAATCAGCAATACCAATTTTTTCACACTTCTATAACTAGTCATTATGTTTGGAGTTTATTTGTTTAATGATTATTTTAGAATTTTTTGTTTATCTTAAATTGCTAACAACTGATTATGAACTAATTTTCTTGATACATTTCATCAATATTGGGCAATATGAAATAGTATTTATTTGAACTTGACAAGTTACATATCACCTGTGTATATAGTTTGTCAATAGCATGTATCTATATAGTCCATCAGAATAATTGTGTGATGCTGTTTTTATTTATTTATGTTTCTTTTATAATTTGAGGCAGATGAAACTTGGAAAGGATGAAATCTGTACTTATCAATACATCAGCCGATATAACTTTAACATGTTTTTGTGAAAAAGAACAAATAGAAAACTCATCCAAACCTATATTTTCAAAATAACCAAGTCACCAGTTTTCTGTCTTTATAGGCAGTGATCTGAACAAAATGAACAAACTTGGCAGGTGGCCCAGTCGTTATCTATGACAGAACAATTTGATGTGCAGAGTTGCCTCCCTTTGGCATGACATACACATATGATCATGGGTCGAATCCCAGATTTACACTGATTGTGTTTCTAGGTTTGTCACTACCATCCCTGAACTCATGGGTTTCAATATGCTGGTAAAAGTCTAGATCGCATCATTTCGATGTGTCCTCTCACGTCACGTCAGGCTGCAAGCTGTGATGTAACTGATATACTGTCACACCCTGCTGACTCACTCATCCCACTTCATTGAACATCTCTTATGTGTGCAGAAAGAACTGACAATGTCTATGGTTTTGGTCATTAGAACAAATAAAAAAAAAACAGAACTCTTGCGAATACAAAACCTCTATTACATCATTGCCATAAATCCTCATTGCAAACATTTATTTCTTAGTAAGCAGAAAGGGGGCACGGGTGGCCCAGTCATCTAAGGCGCCGCGATTCGCTGTGCAGAATTTTGTCCCTTGGGCACGCCAGAAACCTATGATTGTGGGTTTGAATCCCGTTTCGCCCCAATTATGTTTCTAGGTTTGTCAGCACCATACCCGTGCTCGTGGGTTTCACTGAAGTGGTAAACGTCCGAGACCTGCATCACTTCGGGCTTTCCTCCCACATTAAGCTGACATGCCGTGATATAACTGGAATACTGTTAAAAGCGGCATTAAACCCAACTCACTCACTCACTAGTAAGCAGAAACCTGAATGGCAACCAGGCTGTAGGGTTAGGCAATGACACATGATCATCAGTTAAAATCCACACAATTGTGACATGAAACCAGAAAATATTAATCACCCTAAAAACAATTGTGCACACAGAATATTTTGAATGATAAGAACATACCTTTCTCATTTTTTTTTTATTGCCAGATAAGTTGATGAGTCAGCTTTTAAAATTTTCAAGTTTCATACAAGAAATGTTTCTAGGAAGGCATGAAACATGAACACAACACCAAGTTTAAGAACAAAGATGGTAGTGGCATCTTGTGCAGTATCGTATCGCCTGTTTCTGACTGTTTGATGTTCTATATCTTGTGAGGTATTACACTTACCATTTTGTGAAGTTTGTTTCAGATTCGGAGTTTATTTAATGTTCATTTGTTAGGCTAAAAAAAATACTAGTCTTGGTTCTCAGGCACCGACCGCATCATCATAACGTTTGCCGCACGTTTCCTTTTTATTACCTTTTTTTTTTTTTAAATCCTTAAATATTCCAAGTCCAACAGTAATCAAATACTGTATTCCAGTATTTTACTCATAAAGGAATACATTTATTTAGGGAGGCCCTTTCCCAGGTTGATTGTACTCAATTGTTTATTGATTACACAACTGTTTATTGGTTACATACTAGTTTGAACAAACGAAAAAAGATCCCGCCCGCTCGCACTATATTTTCAAAAACCATTGCCTGAGAACCAATTCTTTTATTTTTTTAAGCCTTATGAATGTAGATGTATTGTCAATGAACAAAAGACGTTAGAAGTCACGATTATCTTGAGGGATATATTTATGTCATTGTGTGCTCTTCATTGCACCAAATTATCCCCCAAAATATTGATGATCCCTAACTTGTTTTGTTCAGTATATAAAGTTAAAACAAATGATTTAAGAAAAAATCAAATGTCATTGTGATGTATGAACAAGTTATTTTGTTTTGTCATGTGTAAAACATATTTATGGATGTCGGTTTTGATCTGCTTCAAATCAACACAGGACTCGTATCTCATGACAGTAGATATTATTAGCAATTGTTATGTAATTTTAAAACTATAAATCTTTCGGAAAATATCATAAAATTTGAAATTTGTGTGCAGCTCATTTCTACAACGGTTTATAGAATGTTCTAATTGATGTAGGAAGGAATCAGGATTGTTCCACAGATTCATGGTCTTCTAAAACTTTCGTAGTCAGTAAGTTTCATATTTTCGTACCTATTGGCTTCAGAGTCAGTACTGTGTCTGAGTGGAGTATCCATATTTCACCTCATGAGGAGGGTAAGAAAAACATTACCTGTCATCTTTTCTCTGGGATTAGACTCATTTGTGAAATAAATCATGTAAATATTAATCTCAACCGTTTGAAAGATGTCCCCATTCAGATTAGTTGTTTTTTCTTCAAATCTAACTTTAATCTAATAATTTTGTTATTATTTTGAAACCATGGTAACCCAATAAAGTGAGGTGGAGGTATGACATAATTTCTCAACAGCTTTTATCTGCTGCATAATGTAACCGTAACATTCTGTAAAGGCAGACACTGGGTCCCTTGGCTGCGGGAATCTGCCCAGAATCACCCGACTTTGAACCTTAGTTAGTGATCATCAAACCTCCATTTCAGTGCTGAAGTGTAGTCACTGCCTATAAATGAAGTATGAGTGGTGACTGTCAGAATCCTCCAGCCACACACTCTACTCTACCTTCCTTACATGAGTATGATCATGCACCCCATCAGTATGAAGCCTGCCAACAGCGGAACCTTAACTGCTCTAGTGTATGATCACACCCCATCACTACCCTGGCTGTACTGGTGTACAATCACACCCCATCACTACCCTGGCTCTACTGGTGTACAATCACACCCCATCACCACCCTGGCTCTACTGGTGTACAATCACACCCCATCACTACCCTGGCTGTAGTGGTGTACGATCACAGCCCATCACTACCCTGGCTGTAGTGGGGTACGATTACAGCCCATCACTACCCTGGCTGTAGTGGTGTACAATCACACCCCATCACTACCCTGGCTGCACTGGTGTACAATCACACCCCATCACTACCCTGGCTGCACTGGTGTACAATCACACCCCATCAATACCCTGGCTGTACTGGTGTACAATCACACCCTATCAAACCCTGGCTGTACTGGTGTACAATCACACCCCATCAATACCCTGGCTGTACTGGTGTACAATCACACTCCCATCACTACCCTGGCTCTACTGGTGTACAATCACACCCCATCAATACCCTGGCTGTACTGGTGTACAATCACACTCCCATCACTACCCTGGCTGTACTGGTGTACAATCACATTCCCATCAAACCCTGGATGTACTGGTGTACAATCACACCCCATCAATACCCTAGCTCTACTGGTGTACAATCACACCCCATCAATACCCTGGCTGTACTGGTGTACAATCACATCCCATCAAACCCTGGCTGTACTGGTGTACAATCACACTCCCATCAATACCCTGGCTGTACTGGTGTACAATCACACCCCATCAATACCCTGGTGTACAATCACACTCCCATCACTACCCTGGCTGTTCTGGTGTACGATCACACTCCCATCACTACCCTGGCAGTTCTGGTGTACAATCACACCCCATCACTACCCTGGCTGTAGTGGTGTACGATCCCACCCCATCACTACCCTGGCTGTACTGGTGTACAATCACACCCCATCACTACCCTGGCTCTACTGGTGTACGATCACAGCCCATCACTACTCTGGCTGTACTGGTGTACAATCACACCCCATCACTACCCTGGCTCTACTGGTGTACAATCACACTCCCATCACTACCCTGGCTCTACTGGTGTACGATCACACTCCCATCAGTACCCTGGTGTACGATCACATCTCATCACTACCCTGGCTGCACTGGTGTACAATCGCACCCCATCAATACCCTGGCTCCACTAGTGTACAATCACACTCCCATCACTACCCTGGCTCCACTGGTGTACGATCACACTCCCATCACTACCCTGGCTGTTCTGGTGTACAATCACACCCCATCACTACCCTGGCTCTACTGGTGTACAATCACACTCCCATCACTACCCTGGCTCTACTGGTGTACGATCACACTCCCATCACTACCCTGGCTGTTCTGGTGTACAATCACACCCCATCAATACCCTCTGGCTGCAGTGGTGTACGATCACACCCCATCAATACCCTGGCTCTACTGGTGTACAATCACACCCTGGCTGTCCTAGTGTACGATCACGCCCCATCACTACCCTGGCTGCACTGGTGTACAATCACACCCCATCACTACCCTGGCTGTACTGGTGTACAATCACACCCCATCACTACCCTGGCTGTTCTGGTGTACGATCACGCCCCATCACTACCCAGGCTCTCCTAGTGTACAATCACGCCCCATCACTACCCAGATGCATTGGTGTCCGATCACACCCCATCACTAAGAAGCTGCACTAAGCCTAAAGCAGGTATTGATATCTCTTACCCATGTAGTAACAGGGAAACTATCACAAATAATCAATACTTTCCAGGATACTTTAAACCTTTGCTTCGGGAAATGACCTGCCGACACTGCAGGACATCTACTCACCATATGTGTAATCGCCTCACTTATCATCCCTATGATATGCTCCCATGTTGATTTGTATAGAACACATTTGTAAATTTGACAGTATCGAGTCCCAGATACCATCTACACCTGACCAGACATGTATATTAAGTAGTGCTCTTTTGTTGTTTGTTCTTGAAAGTGTAAATATATTTGGCTGTTTGTACAGTTTCAGAAATTAGCAGATGTTATTGATTGTAACATTGTGATTATATTGTTATGTACATTGACAATCACAATTATGAACATGTTGATTAGGTGAATGTAGCCAAATTATTGCTTACACCATGTCTTTAGATTTGTGCAACGTACAGTTTCTCTTCAGTCAAGCACTTTTACTTGCTGATGTTAGCAGTGATAATTGAGTTGCCTTCAGATGAACTACTGACAACTGCAAGATTAAAGGAGTTTTTGCCAGTGAATGAGGCTGAATCGAAAAACACAAATCAGTATGTCTATACCGAGACTCCAGCAGAGAGGCTGGCTCCCCTTTACTGTATTATCAGGAGGGGGCACGATTGGCCCAGTCATCGAAGGTGACGTGATATTTTGTGAGTTGCATCCCTTGGATGTTCCAGGGTGCCATTGTACAAATTTATCTTAGCGCTAAGGTGATCGAACATACCTTAACATAGATTTACGACAGTCGTAACGCTAAGGTTGTTTTGTACAATGGCACCCAAAAACCTATGGGTTCAAACCCTGTTTTTGTCTCTAGGTTTGTCAGCACCGCCCTATTCTCACATAATTACAGGCTTTTCTCGAACTGACGTAACTGAAATATGTTCAAAGCAGTGTTGAACTTGCTCGCTCGCTCTGAGGATTAATGGCCACATCAGCTGCTTCAATATATGACTGGCCTAGAATTCCCTGGTTGCAATATTATCACTGATTATCACCACAGGTGCTAAATGAAATGTAGCCACAAAAAGGGTATAAGCCAATAGGTGGCTCTGATTCCCAAATATATACCCAAGAGTCTCCCACTATTCTCAATGAGACAAAATTTTATTAAAAGTATTGATATACCTCCGATTACATATTTGCTTAGGAAGCCTGAGTCATAAGAAGTGATAGATAAACATACCTCACACCTAACCCTGAAGACTGTAATGTGGAGCTAACATGAAAAATCCAAGACTTTGTTCAAGAGCTACATACCGAACAAAAACAAACAAAAAACGTTAAGGATCATGAAATATCAAATGTTCTCAGTCTTTGCTACAAAAACAATTCCCGAAAACTATTCATGATTCCTTATTCTTTTCGGAATCGGAGGTGGCTATTTGTATCAGACGATCCACTGGGTACATTCTTCTGGTACTTGTGCCGGTAATGACCCCAACATCAACATCATCTGGTGGTGTTCATGACACCCGCTGCTGGTGGTCATGATGTTCCAGGCCCGTGTCAAATTTAGGAAGAAACATTCTACAGAACAAGAATCTATTCTCTAAGTATTGACCAAGTAATGAGGTATTTTGCTTTTGGTTGGCCGTTTACTAGAAAGAGAAAAAAAAACACAAACTGGTTTGTAATTGGTTTTATCAGACCACTGTCACTTGCATTTAAATGGTTTATTTAATCGACAATGTTATGCCATATTTTGTGGGGGTTTTCCCCGCACACAGTAACTTATTTGACAATTAGTAGAACGTACTTTAAAGAATCCATTTGCATAGACATATTTGATAGGTTATTTTGAATATTTTTTAAGTTATTATTTATCATGCGTTGACTCAATAGAAACTGGTAGAAAAGAGGCAAAATCATAATGGTATTTCAACTATCCCTTTAAGAAAGAAAAGCGAAAAAAACTATACTTTTATCCCTGGACGCAAAGTACATTTTTTTATCTTTCACCATTTTAAGCCTGAATACTAACACAACATGGATTTTTAGCGAATGTAATGCCCAGCATAATCAAATTATGAGATCTAAAATTGGAATCTCATCCAATCCCTTATCAGGAATTTTGCTGAAATGTTTTTGAAACAAGCAACCACTTATTTTGAAACGCCCCCATCTTTTCTGTTGTACCAGACGTTTCGTTTCAGCTGGGAACGAGGACATGTATAATTTGTGAAGCTACAGAATGGCTCCTGTGCAGGAGAACACTGCATGTATATACCGTGACTTTGTACCTTGTATGTATGTGAGTAGCCAGTCGACACCATCGTCAAACTTGAGTGCCTGTCACCTTTATGTCAGTGATTGTATTGTAGACATGTCCAGTCAAAATGCAATAAATCTCTTCAATAGAATGTTGAACTTGGTTTTTTATCACAATGGTTCAGAGGAATGAAGGGGAGCTGTGGGGAAAAAAGAAGCATCACAAATATCATCAACAGTAGTTCCTGTGACAAGTAGTACTGTTCGTTGGTTTGTTTGTTGTTTAACGCCGCACTCAGCCATATTCCAGCTATATGACAGCTGACTAAATAATCGAGTCAGGGCCAGACAATCCAGTGATTGACATCATGAGCATCGATGTACGTATTTGGGATACAATGACATGCATCAACCAAGTCAGCGAGCCTGATCCACCCGATCCCGTTAGTCGCCTCTTACAGCAAGCATAGTCGCCTCTTACAACAAGCAGAGGTCTCTACCCGGATCTTCATGGCTATCTGGCCAAGGGAGGGGTCATACAGATGCTTGTAAACAGAAATGAAGGTTGACATTGACACGATTACATATCAGAGCCTTGCAGATTTGGTTATTTCCTGAAATTAAGGATTGTACAGTGTTCCATTTGGATTTTATTTATTTTGAGGATAATATACTTTTGAATGGGATAAATTTATTTCTGGGACTATATCACTTGATCAGTTGGGACAAGTGTTCATGAAACCCTAATTTTGCATGTTCCTGTTTACACTCGTAGTATGACCTGACCCGTGAAGATTCCGGGGTAGAATAGGTCTTCAGCAACCCATACTTGCCGTAAAAGGCGACCAACGGGATCGGGTGGTCAGGCTCGCTGACTTGGTTGATACATGTCATCGTATCCCAATTGCGTGAATCTATGCTCATGATTTCAATCTGGATTGTCTGGTCCAGACTCAATTATTTACAGACCGCTGTGAGTGCAGCGTTAAACAACAAACAAAACAAAAATAGTATGACCTTTATGATCTAATGGCACATTAAACTTTCAAAACAAGGGTGAGCTACTAACCTCTATTTGATATTACTGGAAACCGCCTCCATGGTCTAGTGGGAGAGTGGAAGGTCCGGGGTTTGATCCTTGGCCGCGTCATACCAAAAGACTTTAAAAGATGGTACTTGTTACCTTGTCTGGCGCTCAGCATTAAGGTGCTAAAACAAGGACTAGTTTGCTTGGGGTCAGTATACTGTGTCTGAGTGGGGTATTCATGTCAAACTGCGGCATGGTATCTCAGTGAGCTAGCACTATAAATCAGCATCAGTTCAGACTAGTGCAAGCAGCCAAACACACATGCATGCATGCATGCAGGTCACTATATAAGTGCAATAATCTAGGAAGCAACATTAAATCCCATTTCACCTCACCTGATATTATTTGACCGTTCGGGGGGCACTGGAGGCCCAGTCGTCTAAGGCGCCGCGATTCACTGTGCAGAGTTGCGTCCCTTGGGCATGCCAGAAACCTATGTTTGTGGGTTCGAATCCCGGTTCGCCAGGATTATGTTTCTAGGTTTGTCAGCACCATACCCGTGCTCGTGGGTTTCACTGAAGTGATAAACGTGTGAGACCTGCATCACTTCAGGATTTACTCCCACATTAAGCTGACACGCTGTGATATGACTGGAATACTGTTAAAAGCGGCGTTAAACTCAACTCACTCACTTGACTGTTCACACAGATTCCATTCAGATATCCATATTCAATACAAACAAGTGAGTACACTATACCCTGCGCAGCACCTGTAACACAGAACACAGAACAGATGAGTACCTGAGGTGTGGGCCTGTAGAGTTGCCTCCCTTGTATCATTGTTGCGTAAACAGCGTCCAGTCGAGAGGCGTGTTTCTCTTTACTCTAAATAATGTAACCAGCAGTTAACAAACGTAACATGGTCTCAGAGCGGGATCAAAATCAACCCAAAGAATTTCTCAATCGAAGAAAAAGCAAATATTCAATCGAAATACTGTCAATATTTGAAACAGCGTGGGCCGCTACACGTGATACAGTTTTCGTGCATTGACATTCATGAAGTTTTACCTCATTTTGATGATAAATCTGTGAATTATGCGACTTTGTGTGCAAAGTATGATCAATATTTGCCATAACTGACCGATTTTGATGCTTTCACGATTGTCAAAAGTGAATTTTAAGTAGAACTCTGTTCGATTTTCAAATCTAGATATGCTGAGGCTCCTTTAGCAATATTTTAATACAAGCAAGTACAGAACTGAAATAAACCATGGCCAAAGGTGAAGAAGCTGCACCACAGAGAATTTATATGCCTTCTGCAATTCCATTGCCCCCTAAACTTGAATTAAAGGGGAATTTAGCATCAGAGATTCAAGCGTGGCTGGGATAACTACGAGATTGCGAATAAAGGACATAGAACAGCTACATTGTTAACTGCAATTGGTTCGGATGCACTCGAAGTTTGTGATGGTTTCCAATTTGAATATGAAGAAGCCAAAACTGACATTGATATTGTTGTGCAGAAATTTGCATCATTTTGTGTTGGTGCTACAAATGAGACACTAATGAACGCTATCTGTTCAACAAGAGAATGGTGAAACCATCAATGCATGTGTTGCTGCTCTTCGTTCATTGGCCAAGTCCTGCAATTATGGAACTTTGATAAATTCTCTAATCAGAAACAAAATTGTCATCGGAATTTCAAATAACAGTACCAGAAAGAAGTTATAACAGATTTCTGATTTGAATCTGGAGAGGTGTATATCAATATGCAGAGCTCGTGAAACAACAGATCAACAGCTCAAGTCGATGAAGAGTGAACAAGTTTCACATGTCAGTGGTGAAACTCACAGGAAAGGGCCTCCTAGGAAACGTGAGAAATGAACATGAACCTGTGACTGCAGATATTGTGGTAGATCACATGCCAGAGATAGAGACATGCGTCCAGCCGTTGGTAAGACATGCTCTTATTGCAACGGTGTTAATCATTTTGAACTGAAGTGCAAGCTGAAAAGTAAAAAATCAAGGTCAAAGCGTCAAAGTAAACAGAGACAGAATACCTGTGCGGTCGAAGCTGATGACTATGACTCGGACAGTTAGTCAAATGAGTATGCTCTGAGCGTTGAAGAATATGTCTCCATGGTGAATGGCAGTCCTCAGAAGAGACTATTTGCTCATATGACACAAGGAGATGATCAAGTTTCAGCTTGATTATGGAGCAACGATCAATGCTATGTCACAGTCACTGTATAACTCCCTCTATGACAACAGACCTGATGAACTGAATAAATACGACACTCCACTGGTGATGTACAACAAATGAAAACAGCTGGCAGGAAGAAACTGTGGGTCAAGAATCCTAAGACTAATGATAAGTATCAGCTAGAGTTTATCATTGTGAAAGATGAAGTGAGACCAGTTCTAGGATCTCAAGCCATACAAGAAATGAATCTCATCACTGTCAATGTTGAGAACATTCTTTCTGTGTCAGGCGATTGTCTACTTGAAGAATTCTCTGATATCTTCAATGGTGAAGGCAAGCTTGATGGATCACTGAAGCTCGAAATAGATCCAATAGTCACGTCAGTCAAGATACCACTTCGAAAGGTACCTTTGTCTATCAAGCCAAAGCTCAAGGCTAAAATTAGCACGTTGGAGAAGATCGAGGTCATCAAAAAGGTTGATGTACCAACTGATTTGATATCTGCTATGGTGGTCGTCATGAAACCTAGTGGTCGTCTTCGAGTGTGCCTAGATCCACAGCCTCTTAAAAAAGCCACTATCCCATGCCAACAATCGAGGACGTCCTTCCTGAACTTTCAACTGCCTAAGTGTTCACAGTGGTTGACGTCAAAAATGGCTTTTGGCATGTCTGTTTGGATGAGGATAGTAGCTACCTCACGACTTTCGATACTCCATGGGGTCGCTATAGATGGATCAGGATGCCATTTGGAATATCCCTGGTGCCTGAGAAGTTCCAGAGAAGACTCGCTCGAAGGTCTTCATGGTGCCAAAGCTTTACATGATGATATCATAGTGTATGGATCAGGACGCACTATGGATGATACAGTCAAAGATCATGACTCTAATATGAAAGCTGTGTTTGAAACATGCAGGTCAAAAGGCATCAAATTAAATTTTCAGAAAATGAAGCGGAAGAAAACTGAGGTATTCTACTTAGGACATGTGATATCTGCTGATGGTTTGAAAGCAGAGCCATCAAAGGTGGAAGCGATAGTGAAAATGCCTGTTCCATCAGACTAACAGGGTATCCAGCGTCTGTTGGGACTCACTAACTTTGTCCAGAGATTTGCACCACAACTGTCAGAAGTAACTGCACCATTCAGAGAGCTGCTCAAAGCTGATGTTGCTTTCAAGTGGACTGATGGCATTCACACTAAAGCCTTAAATGAAGTGAAGCAGATCTTGTCCTTGCCACCTGTCCTGAAATACTTCAATCCAGAATTGGATACAGTTGTTCAATGTGACGCTTCTGAGAGAGGTCTGGGAGCCTGCCTTCTTCAGAACAACCAACCAGTCATGTATGCATCAAGTGAGTGAGTGAGTGAGTATGGTTTTACGCCGCTTTTAGCAATATTCCAGCAATATCACGGCGGGGGACACCAGAAATGGGCTTCACACATTGTACCCATGTCGGGAATCGAACCCAGGTCTTTGGCGTGATGAGCGAACGCTTTGACCATTAGGCTACCCGACCGCCCCTATATGCATCTCTTACAGAGACTGAGATCAATTATGCTCAAATTGAAAAAGAGCTCTGGCTATCGTGTTTGGTATGGAGAAGTTCGACAACTATGTGTATGGGAGACATGTTCTTGTGGAATCAGACCACAAACCGCTAGAGACTATCATGAAAAAAAGTCTACTCAGTGCTCCTAAATGACTCCAAAGGATGATGCTACGCTTACAGAGATACGACTTTGAGGTACTCCACAAGAAGGGTACCCTGATGGTCTTAGCAGATACCCTGAGTCAAGCTTATCTGCCACAGAAATCTCAGCATCAAAGTCATGATGATCAGGGAGTCATGTCCATCTATGAACGTTCTGAAAGTTGATATTGAATCAATAAATATGGTTCAGTACATTCAAGTGTCATCAAATAC